CCGTGTGAGGCAGGAGCCGGATGGCTGGAAGGGAGTGCACCATCCCTGGGTCCAGGTGGTTCACCGGAAAACAGATGCCTCCCAGTGAAACCAGTATGGCCTGTGGGAATACCCTGGTCACCCTTGTCTGTGCCAAATTCCCCTCCCAGCCAGGGGGCTGAGCCCATCCCTGCCCCTCTGCACGCAGGATGGCGGCCTCGAAGCTGGTGCTGTCGCTGCTGGTTGCAGCTCTCCTGCTGCACGTGGCCACCATGCTGAAGATCAGCGCCTTCAACATCAAGGCATTTGGGGACAGCAAGATGTCCAACCAGACTATCGCAGATATCATTGTCTCTGTGAGTGCTGGGGGAGAGGAGCAGTCCTGGCCACTCTCCGGTCTCTGGGATGCAGCCGGCTTGTGGCAGTTGGACATCGGCTTTCTGCAGGCATCCGTCCATCTGTGTGTCCATCTGTGCATCCACTAACCCATCAATCCACCTGTCCACCCCCCACATCCATCCATCCATCCATCCATCCATCCCTACCTCCATCCATCCATCCATCCATCCATCCATCTGTCCTTCCATCCACCCATCTGCTCTTCCCCTATCACCATCCCCAACCTTGGGCCATCTCCACTCTTGCCGGTACCCAGCCAAGGACAAGTGATGCTCGGTGCTGCCCAGGTTCCTCACTCAGAGCAGCCTGCTCACGAGGAGCTGCTGGGATGGTGGGTGGTAGACCGACGGGTGTTAGAGGGCACTGTGTCACCCCAGGGCCCTTCCAAGCCAGAGGACACCAGCAGAGGAGCTCCCTCCCTGGCTCTGGGGTTCCTGCTGCCCTCCCATTGCCAGCCTGGGAGCCTTCACAGCCCAGCCTAGGCACCCATGGGTGCGCCCATGAGCAGTTCCTGGCCAGTAGCAAGCAGCTCTGAGCTTGTCCCCCCAGATCCTGATGGAGTACGACATCACCTTGGTGCAGGAGGTCCGGGACGCCGACCTGAGTGCTGTGAAGAAGCTCATGGACCGGCTCAACAGGTGACCCCAATGACACAGAGCGGAGGGCGCCTGCAAATGGGATGCTAGGACAGATCCCGGCTGGCGTCTCGCTGTGCCGGGGCACCTCCGGCTCGGCTGGAGAGAGCCCGACGGGTGCTGGGGGGCACCGGGAGCCTCCTCTCACCCTCTCTGCATCTCGCTCCCAGTGCCTCACTGCACCCATACAGCTTTTTGGACAGCATCCCCCTGGGTCGGACCAGCTACAAGGAGCAGTACCTCTTCGTCTACAGGTAAGGGATGCGGCCAGGGTCTGGCATCCCCTGTGTCACCTGCTGTCCCCTCCAGCAGACCCCAAAGGGTGGTGGGCACCTTTGGGGGCCTCGGCTGCAGCGGGAGCGGTGCCAGGGGCTGCCCCGCTCTCCTACCTCAGGTCAGACATGGTCTCCGTGCTGGGAAGCTACTACTATGACGATGGCTGCGAGCCCTGCGGGACCGATACCTTCAGCAGGGAGCCCTTCATCGTGAAGTTCTCCTCACCCACCACACGTGAGCAGAGCTGGTGTTGGGGGCTGCCCGGACCTGGCACGGGGTCCCCTCTGCGTGGGAGTGCCCGCCAGGCAGGGAGGTGCACCCTGGAGACCAGCTCAGGGACTCCACTGGGGTCCTTCACTGCTGTGGGGCCTTCTCCCACACGTGGGTGCCTGGGCTTCCTCGGTACCTGCCCAGCATGGCAGGCACTGCCTGCTGTTTCCCACCACATGCCACCTCCCACCATCTCCCATCACTTCCCATTGCCTGTCATCTCCCATCATGCACTGTCTCCAGTTGTGTGCCATCTCACTTCTCCAGCTGTTTCCCATCGTGTCCCACATCCCATCACCTGGT